CGCTGCCAGGCGGTAATTCTCGGCCGTGGGTAGGTGGCGGGTCCCCTACCCCCCCACCTACCCCCCACTGACTCTTTTTCACCAATTGCGCCCCGGGGACCGTTGTGGAACCCGAAACCATGCTTAGACACTTTACAACGCAATTAACGACAACACGTAGACAATTAACGGATCAATTACGAGAAACGAACGACACATAACCTATCATGCTTTTCTAAACATAATCAACACCCAAACATGCGATTTCCCCACCCGATAATCCAAGAATAAGATCATACGATACAACCTAGGGTTCTAATCATTTTTATATCAACAAGTATACGGTTCGTCTTCTAATTGCAAGATTCGGTAAGAATAACACATAAACATCAAGAGCATCACATAATTATCAAGAACAACACATAATCATCAAGAACTCCATATAATTACCAAGAACACCATAATTATCAAGAATCTCCCAATATCAAGATTATCAAGATTCCTCATGGAATCATTATATCAATCATTAATAATAATCATCACCAATCATTAATACACAATAATATGGGGAAACCCTAAGGGGGAATCATAGCTATGAAAATAGGTTTTGTTGAGACATGGGTTACCTCTTAGCCTTAATTAGTTCCTTGGCTATGAAGGGTCTTTCTTTAAGCTTTCTTGCTTTCTTGTTTTCTTCTAGGGGAATTCTTGGAGCTCTCCTGGGGAGGTGGGGCGTTTAGGCGTGTGGGAAGTTCTAGGTGTCTCCTAAGTCCCTTATTTATATATTTAGGAGTCCTAATTTGGAACTAATATTATAGGCTTGCTAATTCTATTCCTTTCGGAACTAAGGATTGGGTTTAGGGGTTGGGTTTATATATGAGAGCCCATGGACTATGGTGGGCCTTTTTCCCTAATTAATCATTATGATTTATTCCTTCTCTTGGGCTTATTGATTGATTAATTAAATGGTTTTAGGGGCCGTAACACGGGGTGTTACAAAGATGAAGATTGATGAACTTCTTTAAGAAATCTTCACGCCTTGAAAAAATTGTTCGCAAAAGCTTGGTAAGAAGATGAGCTTATACAAGAGCTTTTGCTTGAGAGTAATGATCGAGTGAAAGGAAGCAGCACCTTCTAAGTTGATGAAGGTGGGTATTTATAGGTGTGGAAAATTTCATCCGTTAGAGGGAGATGAAATTTCAAACCTATTATCCAGTGGGTAAGGACCGTGGAGCTTGGCGCAATAAATGCTCCATTAATGCGGCTTGTACCATGTAGCCGTTGTAGACATGAACAACCTTAGGGTTTTTGTCTTTTAGCTTCTGAAGAATAGTACAACTTCATTTAATGCTCCTTGGTATATGTGACCCACACTTTAAGGTCCTTTTGTCTCCATGATGGTTGATCAACTCAGAGAGTAGAGACATTCTTCTCGTTATGGAAGATAATGAGTGTCTTAATAAATCTTCATAAAGGTTACTGTCTTATCGAGATGGTTGACAACCTGAGGTGATCTTTCGTTGTTGAAACCTTGATTTCGTGCTCTTTGTTCCTTTTCGCTTTGGCAAACCTAACTAATGATCATAACTCGATGTTCGTGTGTTTGTCTAACTTAACACGAATTACAGGATGAGTTATGACAACTTTCGTCTAGAACGAAAGCAGCGATGGAAATAATGAAAGTTAGGGGTCTACATTCTAAGTTACATTGGTATCATCAAAATCTTAATACAAGTGTTCCTAACAAACTTTATATTCACAATTTTAGAACTATATATTCACAATCAATGGTTTTTTTTTTTTTTTTTTTAATTATTGAAAACAACTCACAATATAAGACACATGCACATGTACCGTGGTCCACAGTGCACTATGAACCCTAGTCCATGGTATAACGATTGAATGTTGGCATACCCATGTTTGAGCGTCATGAAGCGCAAATGGCAAAATTATTTGTTTTAATATTTTATACTCTTTTATACTAACTCACGAATCGACTTATAAAACACCAATCGGTATAAAGTGAATTAAGACGAGAGAAATTTGACCCACATATTTAACATTCATCCAACCAGTAAAAAACCACAGAAATGGTATGAATTACTGATTTATTGTGCACCAAATGCTAAAATGGTTCAGGCAATTTGGACAAGTTGCCATTACAGTTAAAGCTGCAAGCTATTGTTTATAGTTGCCTCTCTGTCCTTCAACTTTTATTCTCAACAATACCATAGTGGTTTTAAACGCATCTGAGATGCTTTTCTAATACAGATGGTTGAGATTATAGGTTTATTATTACGATAAAAGTTATAACTAACAATAAAGGTATAATTGTATAGGACATTGTTCAAGTATAGAGATGTTTTCATGTGAAAGATGGCGTGAGATCTGAGCCGTTGATCAAATATAATCTAGATCAACGGCTCAAATCAATAAAAAAAAAAGGGTCCTCAGTTAAAGAAACAAAGTGTAAAAAATGGAGCACAATATATGTTACAAATACGCACCTTAAGCTATGGAAAGACGCACTTAAAACTTTAGACCGATGCACATTAAGTTTCAACAAAAAACGTTCATTAAGTTTTCAACTGAAGAATCGACACACTTTAAGCACAAGAATCAAAGAAAATCACACACTGAAAACCTTTAGACTGACGCACCTTAAGTTTCAACAACTGATGCACCTTAAGCACACAAACCACACACCTTAAGAAGGAAAACCTCGCACCTTAATTAAGAAGAAAATTCACGCACCTAAAGCTTTAGACTAACACACTTAAGTTTCAACAAAAATGCACCTTAAGTTCTTAACTGAAGAACTAACGCACCTTAAGCACAGAAACTACACACTTTAAGAAGGAAAACAATGCACCTAAAGAAGTAAAACAATGCACCTTAAGTTTAACCTAAATGTAAAAAGACCAAATTGTCACCACGATTTTTTTTTTTAATCTGTGTTCAGTCGTGACGGTCCTTTTTTAGCAAGATCAACGGCTATCATTCAACCTCATCAACAGTGCATTCTTTACAGTCAAACATAGAAACAAATTTCCTAGCAATGTTATAGAAAACTTGGATCGCGGACTATTTTATAAATTTGAAGCCGAAGTTGTTGGATGAACTCGGTGCTTCTTCACAGATCTGGTCAAACATAGCCAAGCCTGACTCTGATGTGACCATTTTATCATTCCACGCTTATGAGGAGAACTCGCTAAAGAAACGAGAGGAAAACTCGCCAAAGAAACGAGAGGGAAACACTCACTAGAGGGACGAGAGAAAACAAACTAGTCAAAGGAACAAAGGGATAACGCATAAACAAAAACAAAAAAACAAAAAAATGGAAAAGATGATAGAAAACCTGTGAGATCTGGAGAGTCTCTGACGCCTTCTTTAAAAAACGATCGGAGATAATCTGAGATCTAACGCTTATTCTTAAAACAGCCAGAGGATGGAGTCTACTAATGGCACCACCGGCTCAACCCTCCATTAGAGTGTCAACCGGCAGCTGGAAGATGGAGTCACAGGGCCTTTACAGATGAAAAAGGAAGAGAAAGCAGTTGTTTAGAGAGAAAGCAGTTTTTTTTTTTTTTGTTTTTTTTTTAATTTTAAATTAAGAAAATTGTAATTTAGGCCCCTCATAAATATGTCAATTATCAATGTCACCCCTGAATTATCAATGGTGTAAATGTAGCCCCTCAATTTTCAAAACGTGACATATATTACCCCTCTCCTAATATGAAGAAGGAGAAAAATTGTTGTTGACGGAAGGAGAACAAGCGAGGAAAGAAAATTTGAGGAAAAAAACGCGGTCTTGGAACAAGAAAGACGACGCGTAACCACATTTACATCACTAATAATTCAGGGGAGGGATAATATATGTCACGTTTTGAAAATTGAGGGGCAACATTTACACCACTCATAATTCAGGGGTAACATTGATAATTGGCATATTTGTGAGGGGCATAAATTATAATTTTCCCTTTTAAATTTGTGATCTCATATTTAAATCGTAAGCGTAAATTCATAATTTAATATTTTTCACAAAATTTGTCACACGTTTAATTAGATTTCAGTGTTTCGACCTTGAAATACTTGGACACTACTGGAAATTCTGAAATTTCCGACCACCTGAAAGTGATCTTAAATCAAGTTGAAAGCCTTGTTTCCGACCATTTTTGGTATCCGGAAAAACCTTTGCTGCTATTTCCGACCACTTTTTACTTACAACTTGATTTAAGATCACTTTCAGGTGGTCGGAAATTCCATAATTTCAAGTAGTGGGATAAGACCACGTGCGGCCTAAAAAAACATCTTTAGTACGAAAATTAACTTTTTGTCTACTTAATAATAATATCCATAATTAATGTTAATATGTAAAATCTCCTATAAGATCAATTCGTGAGACTTGTCAAATACATTTTTCTTCATATTTTCAAAGAATTCAAATAAAACTTGTACCCATTCAATTTCCTTCAATTCTTTTTTCAAAGAATTCAAATCGCTAGATTCTGTTGTTACATATTTGTTATACAGTAGTCGTCGATCGAATGGGTTGAATTGTTTTTTCTTATTGAAACAAGTCAAGATTGATAAGGAGTTTTTGCATGATGCTAGCGCATGCCGTTGTGTTGAGTGCCTTTTTATTTTCTATCGGTATCTATGGATTGATCACAAGTCGAAATATGGTTATAGCCCTTATGTGTCTTGAACTTATACTTAATGCTGTTAATATGAATTTGGTAACATTTTCATAATTTTTTTTTGATAATCATCAAATAAAAGGAGACATTTTCACAATTTTTATTATAGCTATTGCAACAAGTTTTACAATTTGGGCATCAGCTAGATTGGACGTGTTTAGCCGCCCCTGCTCGATTCAAGACGTGGCACTGTGCCTTACCATGGAAGAGTATGTTTAAATGATAATATCCACATACTTATTACTAATTGATTTTAAGTTGGATATGGTAATCCAGATAGATAAGGAAATTTGACAAGGAAATTTAAGGATGTTCGCCTATAAATACTAAGACATTGAGAGCCTGCACATCCATTCTCATTAACCAAAACACATAACTCATTCCATCACATATACTATCTCCTATGGCCCTCAACTTTCATTTCAGATTAGTTGTTCTTGCAGCCCTTTTCCTGTTGGGGTTGTCTGCGTTGGTGTCTCAAGCCACTGCCCGTACCCTCGAAGAAACTTCCTTGCTCTTGCGCCATGAGAAGTGGATGGCTCGCCATGGGCGTTCATATAAGGATGATGTCGAGAAAGCAAAACGGTTCAAAATCTTTAAAGAAAACCTAAAGTTTATCGACTCTTTCAACAAGGCTGGCAATTTGTCTTACAAACTTGGCACCAACAAGTTTACAGATCTAACTACAGAGGAGTTCCGAGCCACCATGCTTAATGAAGACAAGTCATCACCAGTCCCTAAGACTTCAAAACCTGCTTCTTTTGCGAATGAGAGTTTGGTTCAAATTCCATACTCTTTGGACTGGAGAGAGCATGGTGCTGTGACTGGTATCAAAGACCAAGAACACTGTGGTACGGAACTATTAACAATTATTGCACAATTTTATTTAATTTTGGTTTTAATAAAATGTCATTTTCAATTGCTCAAGTGTGGACCACAAGTATTTTGGTTATCGTTTTTGAAATAGTAGCATGTTTTTAGCTGATGAAAACTATGATTTTTGGCCAATTTTTCTTCCTGCAAAACAAGATTTTTGTAGGAAGAAAAAAAAAAAAAATAATAGCGCGCTAGGCGCAACTACGCACCCCGGTGGGACACGTCAGAGTGGCCGCATGACTGAAACTAACCATTTTCTGTTGTTTTTTTTTTTAATAAAAAAAAATGGTCAGAATATTTTTTTTCGTTTCTCTTTCTCTCTCATTTTTGTCTCTCTCCTACGTGACATTCTTTAAAATTGTGAAAAAACTCAACTCGTATGGATGCTCCGATTAGGTTGTTGCTGGGCGTTTGCTGCGGTGGCGGCTGTGGAAGGAATAACCAAAATAAAAACAGGACAATTAATTTCCTTATCCGAACAACAACTCGTCGACTGTGACCCCAACAATAGAGGCTGTGGCGGCGGAAACAGAGTGGAGGCCTTCCAATTCATAAAGGGCAGCGGCGGCCTCATGACGGAGTCCGACTACCCGTACGAGGGTGTCGAGGCAAGGTGCAACACGCAAACCCTTCGCAACCGAGCTGCCACCATTGCAGGCTACCAAGAGGTGGAAGCCAGCGAATCGGCTCTCCTTGTGGCCGTCGCAAACCAACCTGTCTCAGCGGGAATCACCTTCGACGGACGTATGGCACGATATTTACAAAACTACCCGAAAGGAAACGGAATTTTCACCGGCTACGACAACACCGGCGAGTGTGGGTCCGGATACAAACATGCTGTGACGATCATTGGGTACGGGACGAGCCATAACGGATTGGACTATTGGTTGGTGAAAAATTCATGGGGGGCCGGTTGGGGTATGAATGGTTATATGAAGATGGCCAGAAGGATCAATGTTGATGGAGTTTGTGGCATTAACACCAGGGCTTCTTACCCCATTGCTTAAATTTTTCTAAGAATTATGTTACGTTTATGTCTGTCGTTTGTTGTTGTTATTATTATTACCATAAAATTATCCTATGTATTAGGGTGTGCTTCCAATTGTTATTGCAAATGTCTTCAATTTCAATCTATGTTTAGTTAGATTCAATTAGAGATTGGATTAAGTCATCTTTTGTGATTGATGCAATGCTATTGAATTGAATATAACTATGAGCTAGTGCAATGACTTTATGATGGCTCTAGTTGTGAGCTTAGTAGTTTGTATTGACTCTTGTATGACTGTGACCAAATTATGCAAGAGATACGTGGACAATATGTTGTAACTATGAGAATAAAGCAATACCATAGTCATACCTCTCACTAAATACTTAGTCTAAAAACGAGAGTCTAAATAAATACTACTTTTGATTTGAATTTCTTTAGGTCTTCTTAATTTTCTTTTTGGTAGCATTGTCATTATCTTCATCTTCACTATTTGTCTTTTTTTTTGGTAGTGTATTATTTGCAATTAGGTTATTGGTGGTAGCATATATAGATGGTAACGTCATGCAACAAGATTATGGTGTAGCAAACTGTGGATTTGCCTTGTGTATATGAATGAGAACTTAGTTGTACTATGAACACTTGGGATTTGCCTTGTGTATATGAATGAGAACTTAGTTGTACTATGAACACTTGATCTTGCAAGTGCCTGTTGATATTTTGTTGTGGTAGTTTTTTCCATACACGTTTTATGTGGAAGTATTGAATAAATATTAATATTTATTATATTTGTAGAAGGTTCATGAGTAGTACCTCTAGTTCTATTTTTATAAGTTGTTTACTTGATAGTAACAACAACTGTGCAGGTAGTCCGAATACTGAAGCCGTAACGTGTCTAGTTTCATCAATAATTTCCACATCCATTTTGTGCCTATTAATTTTTAAGTTCATATTTTTGCAATTAATTAGTATGAATGAGGGTATGTATAGTAGTACTTGACTTTGTGTGTGTGCGCATTTTTTTATTTTTTTTTATTTTTTATTGAATTGATACTAACCTTAGAGTTAAATTGTTTGTCACTTTCTCCATAAACATTTGTTAAACAATGACTACATCCTATATAATAAATGTTTTTGTTGTCAAGATTGATATGGATTTTGCCTTTAATCTATGCAAGTTGAGCCTAGAAGATGAACTTAATATAGATTTGTTTTTAAAAAAAAATGCAAAGAAAATATTTTTAAGGTTAGTTTCTTATTTGTAACCTTTGATACTCAACTTTGAATACTATGTATATAGTCTGCCTAATTAATTGACCAAATTTATATTATATTTTGTATTGTATTTTTTACAAGTCAGCTCTGGACATGTTTGTCCAGGGCCCTAAATTTTTGAGAGCTCCATATTTAAAAAAAAAAAGAAAAAAAAGTTATGTATACAATATATAAGCACTAAGCAGCTTAGCAGCATTACGCAACCCTTTTCCTTCGGCGCAAGTGCGCAACCCTATGGCATTATGTATACTGTATATTAGCTTGAGTTCATTATCGACATTACACTGCTTATATATTTACACAAATCTCACAAACAGACGACAGACAGATCACAGACGACAACTAGCATAACTAGGTATTAGGTAATTGACGCAAACATCAGTCACCAGACGACAAACAGACGCAATTGGCGCAAACAGCAGATCAGAAGACAAACGCATCTCGTCAAAATTCTTCAATTCTTCTTGGTGTTAAACTACTTACGGATTGAAGAATGAGAACGAGGATTTGGTAAGGAGGATAATCAACTTAAAAACTTGGTGTTAAATTATTATAATAGTTGTTTATAAAAGATGACGAATGTGACACAAGTATGACTATAAAGGAGCGTTCTCACAACTTCTTATGTTGGAGTGGCACATAATTAGAGAACTTATGGAATTGGAAGAAATTAAAGAGGCTTAACTAACAATGGGTTCGTTAAAAGCAAGGCCAAATGGCATCCACATGCTATTTTTTTTTTATTAACGGGTGGAGGAGGTTGTGACACCTCGTTATTTTAAACAATATTATTTTAATACAAATATATTCCTAAAAATAAAATTATTTTCGGCAACCATGAATATTTCGTTATTTATGATCAATTCAAAACAAATTATTTTAGTACAAAAATCTAAATAAAACTATTATATGATTCGACTGATTTTATATTATATCATTGTTTGAGCGCAAAAATATACAATCGTTATGTTATGGACCGACACGGGTAACAGTGCCGTTAGTGGCACTGTTATCTTCCACTTCTTTTTTTTTTTTTTTTTTTTTTTTTAATTTCAGACCGCTTTGTTATAGGAGTATATGCTCATAATTGTAAGTTCGAGTTTTTTTCCAAAATGGTCCATCGACTATTGCTCATTCTCAATTTTGCATTTCGACTTTCAATTACACCTAATATGGTCCCTTGATTTTTAAAAACTACCCCAAATTGGTCCTCCTCTAGATTTTGCGTTAATTGAGCATTAGGTGTGAGGGTATTTCTGTCCATTCACAGGCACTTCGTCGTTCCTTTTGTCTTCCTGTCAGAAATTAACCCCAAACGTAAAGTTACCGCCGCGCTTATCAAACCGGAGCTGCTCTGAGTTCTGACTGTAAACAGTATTCTTAGACGTGAATTCTCGACTCGAAACCTCCGATTAACCGCAATAAAAGCTTCGTCGAACGATGCTCGATCGGTTGCTGGCGGTTCGTTCAGAGACAGAGGGGGGGTGCGAGAGCCCAGATTCGCAGAGTTCATTACTTCGGAGATAGTGAAAGTAATTGGAGCTTCTTGATTTTACAAAGTCACAAATTTTTAAGTTCTTCAATTCTCTTAACAGTGAATTTAAATTATTTAAAATTTCACAATTCTTATTTATTGTTTTATTTACATCACTTAATAATTCTGATTTCAGAATAATATATTCAAGAATTTGCTTATTGATTAATTATTTGTTAATAGAGTTTCTAAATAAGTTTTTATTTTTTTCTTATGGTTTTATAATTATGTCTTCTAGAAAATATTCATCTCAGTTTGAGAAGCCTAAAAAGAAAAGAAGAATTGAGTAACTAACTTAATCTCAAAACGGAGCTCTTGAAAAAAGGGGCCAATTATTTGTTCATAGAGTTTCTAAATAAATTTTTATTTTATATACAATATTTATATTTTGAAATTTTGACACAATTTTTTGAACACCTATTATTTATATATACAAATTATTTGAAAAAAGGGGCCATGATCCCATTTTTTATTGGAACAGTCCTAATTTTTTATACACTCTAACCTACTCAGAGTGTATATATGTTCACCAATTATGCCAACTTTGATTAGGATGGGTTCGAACCTAAAACCTTCCTTATGAAAAATCAATGAGTAAGTTCAGAATAATAAATAGTTAACTGAATTTTCTGTTACAAAAGTTTACACTGACGGAGTGTAGATGCATTTAAGAAAAGTAAATGATATAATAGACAGATATTTTTTAGTTCTCGTTATATGCCTAACTTTATTGGTTCTTGTTAATACAGTAGATAGATAGATATACAAATTATTAGCTAGGGTTCAACTTTTGAAAATTAAAGTAGTATTCTAGTACTTTTGTTACATTGTGGAAAATACTATGTGAACTCCCAAATCGTACTCCCAATTATTGTTTGGACCATCGCCCACACAGTGCTATCATTGGCAGTACATCAAGTATTTTCCAACTAGGTTATTATTGGGATCCACATAATAAAAATAATCTATCATTGTTTACCACTTTAAGAAATAAATGTGAGAAAATAGAATTTAAGGATATGCACAGTATAACTCTAGAGCCAAATCAACCGCGCAGGGCAAATTATTGTTTGGACCATCGTCCACACAGTGCTTTGTGGACCATAATAAAAAGTACATTTTTAATATACTAAATGTACATTACTTGTATACTGAGTGTACATTATATAATATAATGTACACTCAGTACACAAATAATGTACATCCCCTGAATATAATGTACATTTTTAATATACTAAAAGTACATTATTTATGTCCTATAAAAGGACAATAAAAATTGTGTCGCTCAAATGATAAAATAATATATAATGAAATCTTTTGACTAAGATATTATGGTGTCCATCTTATACCCACGTGAGCTCCAGGATAGTTACGGGTTTATTATAAAGTATGTTTGTTGACAATGGTACATATTTATTTACAAGATTCCTCTATACATTTTAAAAATTTAATGTATAGGATATCAAGATTGTTATCTTGATGGGGAGTATAATTTTACATGAATCAATCCTGAAGATTGATGACTAACGACACATAAATCATGCACTCTTTTCCTCAACTAATTTTTCCCACCAGGTTTTTCAAATGAGGTTTTTAACGAGACATGATTATTATATAGTAATAACAATGGAAAAGTTGCAAAATAATTACTTAAATGGACAAACTCCAAAATCTTGAAGATTATGCAGGTTATGCCCTGAACGCTTATGATTGTACTCTTTTTTCCTTAACTAAGTTTTTCCCACAGGGTTTTCTTAAGTTAAGGTTTTTAATGAGGCAATCAGTACAATATATGTTTTTACAAATATCATGTACTCTTTTCTTCAACTAGGTTTTTCCCATGCGATTTTCCTAGTGAAGTTTTTAATGAGGCATGAAAATATTTTCTATTGTACTCTTTTCTTGTCTAGGTTTTTCCCACAGGATTTTCCTAGGAAGTTTTTAATGAGGCAAGGTCATGAACAAATAATGTCCAAGGGGGAGTGTTATATCATTATGTGGACATTATTATAACAGTTGTAACGGTTCTTGTATTTATGTCCTCATTATATCTTCCATTAAGTTTGTACAATATATATAGTTGTGTTGTTGTTGTATAATAGAACACAGATGAATGAATAAGAGATTCCCATTTTCTACCTTTTATCTCTATTTTGTTTTTCTTTTAACAACCAAGACAAATATTGATTAATTTCTAAAAGATTTAAAGGTATATTCACTAATTTAGATTTTACTAAAATCAATACTGTTAAAGTGACGTTGCAGTGAAGTCGTGGTTAAAAATCTAATTTATTTATGGAGTATATACAAGTCACTAGGGTTCAACTTTTGAAAATTATGGTAGTACTTTTGTTACATTACTTTATATAGCCAACTAGTGGTATTAATATCAACAAGTTGCATATATGAACCAATTGCGAGAAAATTATGGGCAAAGACTTCCGTAGACTATAAGTCGTCGATGAGAGGACTGAATAGCGAATATTCTGTCGCATTCCACGCGACATTTTTTATACAAATTATTTGAAAAAAGGGCCATGATCCCATTTTTTATTGGAACAATGCTAATTTTTTTAATAGACTCTAACATATTCAAAGTATATATATGTTTAGCAATTATGTCAACTTTGATTAGGATGGGTTCGAACCTAAAACCTTCCTTATGAAAAATCAATGAGTAAGTTCAGAATAATAAATAGTTAACTGAATATTTTGTTACAAAAGTTTACACTGACGGAGTGTAGATGTATTTAAGAAAAGTAAATTATATAATAGATAGATATTTTTTATTTCCCGTTATGCCTAACTTTATTGGCTCTTATTAATATAGTAGATAGATATACAATTTATTAGGGTTCAACTTTTGAAAACTAAAGTAGTACTCCAGTACTTTTGTTACATTGTGGAAAATGCTATGTGAACTCCCAAATCATACTTCCAATTTCTACTCTCACTCTTAAATTTTTTATGTGAACAATTTTCTGGGGATCCACATAATAAAAATAAAGTATCATTGTTTACCACTTCAAGAAATAAATGTGACAACATAGAATTTAAGGATATGCACAGTATAACTCTAGACCCAACTCAACCACGCTGGGCAAATTATTAGTCCACACATTGCTGTGAAGACCATAATAAAAAGTACATTTTTAATATACTAAATGTACATTATTTGTGTACTGAGTTTACATTGTATAATATAATGTACACTCAGTACACAAATAATGTACATCCCCTGAATATAATGTACATTTTTAATATACTAAAAGTACATTATTTTTATAAAGAATGTAGTACATTATTTTACAGTATACAAAATATGATATACACAGCTTGTGTGAACCATGGTCCACACAATAATGATTGACCACGCAGCCGTATTAATATCAACAAGTTGCATGAACCAATTGCAAGAGAATTATGGGCGAAGACTTGAGTAGAATATAAGTAGTCGATGAGAGGAATGAATAGTGAATACTTGGATCGCATTCTACGCTGCAAGCTAGCTTGATAAATTAATTGACCAAAACTTTCATATCAAATTATATTTTAAATAATAATGATGTAATTTCATCAAATTGATGGACAGTAAAGTCAATTAATTCTTATAAGCACATTCTTAGTTAAGCTCGTGATACAAGGATCATCTTAATACAATTTACTTATTTTAGAAGTAAGGTTTAACTAGTACAAACTATTGAATAGTGATTACAAATTTTTCTCATTAATCAAAAGAATAAAGTCAATTAATTTATAAACTATTTTTACGTAACACTTTATACATCACCATTTAAAGTAAGACTTGGTGTAAAGAATGTGTGGAACGTAGCACTCCACTTTTGTTACAGTTACCATATGCCCATTGCGTAAATAGTCTAATGCCAATATGTATTTTTAAATTAATATTTTAAAATTTTTCAAAGTATCATCTGGTATATATCTTAACGCATATCAATACTAGATTATTAAATTTTTTTATAAAAGTAAATATTTCAAAAATGCATATCAGATTGTGAATGATTTGATAAAAGACTCTTGGTCCAATGGTCCCCATATATAACTTTACAATAGGCAGTTCGTTTATTTAAAAAAAAAAAAATCTAAATCCTATCATTAAGTATTTTCATCATGCAACAAACCCTAATTATATGCAAAAATAGTGTTGCAAAAATCGTGCCTAGGTGATAGGCGTCGCCTGGTCACAACGAGGAAGGTCAGAATCGGCTTTCTCCGCGGCCAGCTAGACCGCCTTGCCGGCTGATCGAACAGGCATTTTTTTTTCTTATATTTTTTTTTTGTTGCGAAGTGTAGAAACTTTGTCAAGGCATAACTTTCGAAATTGTTATCCGTTTTGGATAAAAAAAATAATTTCAAACCGCCTATTTTTTCTCAAATTTCGTAGGCGTTTTGCCCCACCAATTTATGAAAAAAATGCTTCTTTTGCTCTTAATTTTAATTTATTATTTTTTTTTTTTATGTATTTAGATGGTTTCAATAATATTTTGAACAATTTTACAACCACTTATATAAATAGTTTGTAAGAAAAAACTAGAGGAATCTTTTGTTTTATTAGTGAATTTTTATAAATTTTACTTTAATTTAAAAATAATAATTAAAAAATCGGGCACCTAGGCACCTAAGGGGCGCCTAACGTATTTTTGCAACATTGTGCAAAACTAAGCAAGATAACTTGAAAACAACAAAATATATTCCTTTTTGAAAAACCAATGTGGTTATATTTATAAATAACTCAAAATTGAGTCAGGTGGGATAGTATCCCAGTACATAGTCGTATCGAGATTAAAAGCCTCAGCTGCTAACATATGTGCTAAATAATTTTGCGATCTAGGAATAAAAATTACTGAGCAATAAGTAAACATAGCCATAGTAGTCCTACAGTCATCAAGGGCATAACCAAGATAGGATCTAGATTGAATTGGCGAAGTGGCTAAATATGCCTGAAGTGTCTGGCAGTCTGTGAACAACTCAACTGAAGGTTCGCCACGTGCCCTGAGCCATGATAAAACTTCCTTGCATGCAAGAGCCTCGGCCATAAGCGGTGAGAAACAGTTTTGCAAGGGTGCGGCATACGCTGAGATGTATCCGCCGTGCGCATCGAACAACACCGCTCCAACTGTGGCGGTCTTCGACTGGGGCCGAAAACCGGCGTTAACAAAGCAGTGCACTGGCTCCATTATTCCCATTCCAGTAGCAACGGCAAAGGGAGATAACGGCGGCACCGGTTGTGACTCGGCAAGGGGGCCAGATTGTTGCACCGGCGGTAACGGCATTAAGCCGGCATTGGCGAGGGTGGTCGGCTGTGAGGGGGCAGCCACATGCACCTGCTGCCACGCATGCACGGACGCTATGGCCATCGCAATAATCTTCTTTAGCCTTGGCAGGCATGCATTCCAAACGGCATCGTTCCGGGCTCTCCAAATGTTGTATAATATTCCAGCTGCAAACAATATCACATTAGCATCTAGAACCTTTAGGATTACTCTAAACCATTCCTGGAAAATATTCGTTACAAAATGGGGGAGTGGAAGGTTAGATTGATCCCATGTGGCCCTAGCATAGTCACACAATACTAAGGCATGCATTGTGTTCTCATTCATAACTCCATACATGGCACATATTGGGCTAATTTCCACCCTCTTTATAAGCAAATTGGTTGTGGTAGGGAGGATATCACCTATAGATCTCCATAGAAATGTCTTCCACTTAGGGGGGATTTTCAACTTCCATAGGGTTTGCCACTTATCAAAACCAGTATTATTCTCATAAGTGCCCACAGTAAGCCTGTACCTATTCTTGACTGAATAGCAACCATTTGGATCCCCATACCAATACCATATATCCTCATACTCCTGCGAGATCGGGATCTTTAAAATTCTTGGTATGTCATTTGGTTGGAAAATATCTGATAAAATGTGGGGATCCCATGTACCAATATTCTGATCAATTAATCCCACAACTTTTGCACCAGCTAGCTGTGGTGGCATCTCCGTTTGGACCATTGGGTCTAGATCATCCTGAAGCCAGGGATGTTCCCATATCAAGGTAGACTTTCCATCCCCAATACGTCGTCTTACCCCACTTGTTATTAATTCTTTGGCAGCCATAATACTAAGCCAGCAATAACCAGGATTATTTCCAATATCTGCCTCATAAAACGAGCTTTTAGGGTAGTACCTTGCTTTGTATACACGAGAGACCAGTGAGTCAGTATTGGTCAACAATCTCCATGCCTGTTTACCCAACATTGCCAAATTAAATGCCTTCAGATCCTTGAATCCCAGGCCACCGTACTGCTTCGGGATACACAATTTATCCCATGCCTTCCAATGAATGTCACGGTCAGTCCCTGAGCCCCACCAGTAGCGATTCATTGTCCGTTCAATAGCTGTACACACAGATATAGGCAACAAAAAAACACTCATTGAAAAGGTAGGCATAGCTTGAGCCACACTTTTCAACAATATTTCCTTTCCTGCCTATGAGAGAAATTTCTTGCTCCACGACCCAATTCTCTGTCGGATTTTGTCCTCAATATAGTCAAAGGCCGCCTTTTTATTCCTCCCCACAAAAGGTGGTAATCCCAGATATTTGCCAAAATTAGGAGCCTAGTCTACCCCTAAAATATGTGTCACCACATCCCTGCATTCCTGATTTGTATTCTTACTGTAATAGATACTAGACTTGTGATAATTCACCATTTGTCCAGACAAACTCTCATAGGCTGCCAAACAATTCTTCACCTCAGTAGCCTCACGTGGGTTAGCTTTGAAAAATAACAGGCTATCATCAGCAAAAAAACAAATGAGATATTAGGGGTGCACCACGCGCGACCCTGCAGCCCTGTATCAAACCATCATTCTGTGCCTGTTGTAATAACACAGATAGTCCCTCCGCGCATATAATAAACAGATATGGTGAGAATGGATCACCCTGCCTGAGACCCCGGGTAGGTATGATCGGTTCACTGGTAGAACCATTTAATAAAAACCTGTATGACACAGTAGTCACACATAACATAATGAGTTCCACCCATCTCTCATCAAACCCCAAGGCCTTTAACATCCCTTGTAAGAATGGCCACTCCATACGGTCATAGGCCTTTGCTATGTCCAATTTGAGAGCCCCCCATCCTACCACTCCACACTGCTTCCTACTCAGATAATGACCCACTTCCGCTGCTATCAAGATATTATCAGTAATGAGCCTATTTGGTATAAACGCACTCTGCGAATCAGATATAACATTCTCCATCAGGGGCTTCATTCTTTGTGTAACCATTTTAGCCATTATCCTATAAACCACATTACTTAGGGCTATGAGTATCAAAATATATTCTTAATAAGTTGTAAAATACAAATAACTAAAATTACTTCACACGACTTCGACCATTATGTTGACCACTTCAAACTTCTACCAAAATAACAATTGGGTCAAGCAACTGCATCTCAGTTGCCACTTAATTGCCATCCTTAAAGTGCATTCTTTAATGTTTGTAGTTACTGCGATCCCTTCTACTCCAATTATTATTGTGTGGATCATGGTCCACACAAGTTGTGTGGATCGTATTTTGTCTACTGTAAAATAATGTATATTCAATACAAAAATAATATATATTCAGTACAAAAATAATGTACATTGTATTCAGGGGATGTACATTATTTTTGTTCTAAGTGTACATTATATTGTATAATGTACATTCAGTACAAAAATAATATACATTTAGTATATTTAAAATGTACTTTTTGTTATGGTCCACATATCATTGTGTGGACCATGGTCCACACATTAATTTGCCCTTCTACTCGGGTAAATAACAAGGGCGTCAAGCGCCTCAACAGATCACAAAGGTGAAATTTGAAATTTCACCGTGAATCTTGAATGCAAGATGTAACTTATATTTCTACTTGATTTTATGTTATGTAACAATCGCGTTCATTAATTAGATTTTTTAATCAAATGTAAATAACAAAAATTGAAAGCATAAAACAAAACAATAACACAAGAGAATTGTTACGCAGTTCGGAGCGCTTCTCCTACGTCTGCGGGACAACTCACGTCAGCCCAATCCACGTCTGCGGGACAACTCACGTCAGCCCAATCCACTAGATGTTCACCAAGATTACAGGGGTTTGTATGACTCAACCACATACAAAAAGGCTACAGCCTAATACACCATCTTAATCTTCAAACATCTATTTTGGAGAAGGGGACATGCATGCCGAAAACCAACTTCAAGCTCTTCACGCCAAATGTACCTTCTTGATTAATCTTTGTGTAGAAACTTCACCAACTCAATATATAATAATAATTAAATCAATATATGATGAATCCTCTCAGAATAGGCATTCAGCTTCACTCAATAAAATAATGTATAATAACTATCAGAATAGGAGTAATATATAGCTTCTCAACTGTGCTTTTTTCTTCGTAAAAAATTTCGTCCAGTGAAGGTAAGAATGCTTCCCTTTATATACTAAAACAATCACAACCAACTTTCCATAATTATATCTATTCATACGCCATTCCCAATGCAAATTAATCCACACCACAAATCTTTCACTTATGACTTACCACTTCAATGCCATACTATAACAAACTCATGCAAAAATAAATTCCTTAATTAACACCTCTAATTAACCAAGACCACTTGATTAATTTTTCAAGTTTGATTTGATTTACTGTCCAAAAAAAACTTGAAAGCTTCCAAAAGAAATTACCTTGTATAATATTCATACCTTTTTGATAGGAGACGGTCCACGGTTCATATGATAATTTTCAAAATAAATTCTAATTATTTTGTCAATTAAATTAGCCAACATAAAAGGGTTTAATGTGTATCATTTGTACACTTACAAAATTTGTCACAAGATATCAAAGGACGAACTTTATTAGTAGTTGTGTATAATAAGGGCAATCTCTCAAATGAATGAAGGGCTCTTTATTAGTTGTTGTGCTCTTTTAGTTAACACCAATCCATATAAAGTGAATTAAGATTAGAGAAATTTACCTCACTGATTTAAAAGTCCAACTAGTAAAAAACCACAAAAATGGTAGCCCATCGTGAGGTAGATGAAAATAGGACATTACTTATTTATTGTGCACCTAAAGCTAATTAAAATGGTTCAGGCAATTAGGACAAGTTGACATTACAGTTAATAAAGCTGCAAGCTAATGTTGATAATTGCCTCTTTAATATGTCGCATTCTGATCTACTCGCCAACCTTAATCGATAGATGTTACTTTTTTGGTATAAATATTAAATAGGTAACACATTGAGAGCATATATGCATTCTCATCAGTCATCAAATACTATATTATATCTCCAATGGCCCTTTTCAGATTGGTTAGGTTTTTGTTGCAGCCCTTTTCTTGTTGGGAGCTTGGGCATCTCAAGCCACTGCCTATAATAATCCTGGCTTCAATCCCAATCCCAATCCCAAACCGACCAAGAAGTCACCCAAAAGCTCCGGCTATTCCAACAATAATGGTGGAAACCCGACCACCCAAATGCCTAATCCATCCTTTAATAATGTCAATCCGAATGATGTTGTGAACACTGCGGACGCCATAAACAATGTTGTTGAGACGACGACTGAAGCTATGGCTGAACCTCCGCCGCCGCCTGAATCATCTGGAGCCTGCGGTAACTATATAATAACAATCACACACTTTCCTACTTTCTATGCATTCATGTAGTAGTTTTATTGTGCATTAATGAGGAACTTATTGTGCATTACTAAAGAAGTTCGCATGCTCAGCTGTTCTCAAGAGGTGTTGGTCTCACCTGAACGATGAGAACAACTCCAGAGCGGAGAAATATGATCCGTCCATCTAGGATATTAAAAGGGGCTAAAAATAAATAAAACATTGAAAAATACAATGACATTAAAATTATGCATTTGAAAATGTTTGACTGTGCGTTTGTAAAAGTGCATTTAGAAATTCTTTTGATAGACAGAGAGAAGGGAGGTAATGAGAATTAGGTAGTGCTTTGCGTGCTCGGTCAAACATTTTTAAATGCACAATATTCGTAATTACATAAAATTACAGAAATGTGATTTTTTTTTTCTTTTGCATTGATTTTCAGTCTTTGTTATAATTGGACATATTAGATTTGTCTACTAATCTCGGTGTTTTTATGTGAACTTGATTATATATATAGATGACTAATATATACCCCCGGCGATGGAAATCACAGAGCTTTTGGGGGCTGGTTAGTTAGCGGTCATAATCGCAGTGTCGCTCTATTATCATCAATTCCTCTCATGAATTATCCTCATACTTGCATGGGTTTTTCTTCTGCATGAAACCATATTGGAAGCAAATGTTCCTATTTCTCAAATTTTATTTTTATTATATTTGTATGTTGTATGGTCTCTACATTTTAATCCATCTATTGTACTCAACAATATCTATCGGTTAATGGAGCTAATTAGCTGATGAATAAACTACCAGTCGTTACGTTCTATAAGGTTTTGGTTAAATTGGTTGTCAACCATTGCAGTTTTCCCCTCCTTCATAATATATACACTTGTCTAAGCATTCTAACATTCCCTAATTGAAATAGTAATTAACAATTAATTAATTACCATTAATTAAACACACTAATTACTTTTTTTTTTGGCCGAATTAACTGCTGCCATGGCGAATAGTAGTAATGAGATTTGAATTCGAACTTGTAATAGGTATGATAGAGAAAAAGAATTAGAATTTTTTTTTTAAATGCCATTAATCTTGAATGTAATTCATATTTTAGACTATTATTGTGTTATTAAATGATTAATAAAGTCAATTCAAATTCAGTTGATATTTCATTATTTTAAACAAAATTTTATTATAAAAGATTATGCAATAAAAGAACTAAAAGGAAAAACAACAAACTAAATGCAATAAATAATTTAGTAAAGATTCCAAATTACATATTCATTTCTATTTATAGAGCCAACTCAGCCAAGCAGACGTATTAATAACAACAGGTTGCATGAACAAATTGCAAGAGAATTGTGGAAGAAGACTTCCGTAGAATATAAGTCGTCGATGAGAGGACTAAATAGTCAATACTCCTGTCACATTCTACGTGGAAATCTTGAATGCTTAATGTTACTTAAATTTTGCAGCATTTTGTTCAAGGAAAATAATGAATAATATATATAAAATATATTTTTAATGAAAAATTTCACTCCCATAAATTACGAGCCCTATGATGTCCCCTGGCCTTGACCGTTGGCCTATTCATGTTTGAGCGCCATGAAGCGCGAATGGTTTGTAATGGACTTTCATACAAGGATGACGTTAGTCTAGCCGTCTATGCTCGCTTTTTATTGATCAGTCACGAGCTAACCTATATAAATCAAGTAGGTTTGCATATAGTATATTTTATGGACCAACATTTACCTTACACACTTGGTCTTAGTCCAAAATCACTTTAAAATTACGTACTTGCAGCTAACAAATTATATATCTTCAGTTAAAAGAAAGGTATATATAATATGTTAATTGTAATATGTGCATAATTTATTAAAGAAAGGTATATATAATATGTTAATTGTAATTGATTCATAATTTATATTATTAACTGTGCTGCAGTCACATAATAAATTAATTGCATATAAGTGATACATAAGGATACACAGAGTTTTTTTGCACTTTTGGTCCCACGACTATAGTGACAATATCAGAATTGATCCACGACTTTCAAATCTTGCAATTTTAGTCGACGGCTATTGTTTTTTTTTTTTTTTGACAAAGATGGACTAAAATTGCAAAAAACTAGGGATACAAACTAGTAACTGCAAAGTCACGAATTCGAATCTCAGCTTTCTAATTAGTTTGATCTAGTCAAGGCGGAATCAGGATTTATCCAGTGCACACCCTAACATAGTAGCAGTGCATTTTCCTAGCTAAAAAAAAAAAAAAAAAAAAAAAAAACTATTCGTATATATGAGTTATATTACTAGAAATATTGTACTATACAGGTGGAAATCGCAGACAAATGGATGGATGGATTGAGTTCGGAAGAAAAATGCTCAATCATATATTCTTAATCACAAATAAATAAATAAATAAATAAATAAATTTTGAGGCGATAATCATAAATTTTCAAAAAGTTTGTGAGCCAGCCAGGGGCCAGGGCAATCGTTATACCATGCACCAGCGCGCACATAGTAATGTGCGCCCTGGAACTAAACAACGCCGTTTCCGTTACTGATAATGGAGATTGGATGTGACGGATGTCGTTCCGTTAGTCCAATCACCATTACAATTTCTATTTTTTTAATTAAAATATAAAAAACGCGGTCTCTTCTTCTTCCCCAACACAAACCATTTCGATCATCCAAAAGACTGAAGACAGCACAGCAAAAATCTCTTGCCAGAAGAGCGAAAAAGTTCGAAAGCAATGCACAAAACTAGTAATAACTCTCATATTTTCATCGTTCATCGCACTACGCAACACATTTGCATGAAACTTCAAACACTTTTTTGTTTGAAGATCAAAATATTGTGAAATTTGTAACATAACACATAATTTTAGCGCATATATCATGAAATCAATGAACATTTATATGAAAATCCATCATTAACAAGAATTTTCCGTTAAGCTAGGGTTACATAACAGTACTAACATGAAACTCTGTAACTGAATGATATTACTAAAGTATGTATACAATGTTATGAGTTCTGTGTGTTTTTTGGGTAGCAATTATATCTATTCTGAGTATATATTATGTGTATTCTACTATACACCTCATCAAACATACTATATGTTCCTTATTTCTTGGATTATGTGTTTTCTGAGTAGACATTATGTGTATTTTAGTATAAGATTATGTACATATGACTTCCAGTTGCTATTCACCTCATCAAACACACTATATGTTCCTTATTTCTAGGATTATGTGTTTTTTTGAGTTGAGATTATGTGTATGCTTGTATAACATTCTGTGTATTATGTTGATAATTTAAATATATTCTGATATAAGTTTATTTGTTATAATATTTTCAGTATGCTTATGATTATGTGTATTCTGAGTATATATTATGTCTAATCTATCATTAGATTCTGTACATTATGCCTTTTAACTCTGTGCATTCATTCAGTGCCTGATTGGTTAATCTAGGGTTATATGTTACTTATACCTATATTTATGTGTATCATATTTATAGTTATGTGTATTCTACTATAAAATTCTGTATATTATGAATTTACATCTGAAGTGCTCTAATTATATACTTTTATTGCAGAAATGTCAAGCTCCACGGAAAGTGATCCCGCACTACTGGAAATGCAGCAATTATATGCAAGAAAAAGAGATACGGCATTTACTTCAGTGTACTCTTTTGTACCATTTGGATGTGTTTCTCTTTCAGTTGTGCACATAATGTATTTTGAGAAACATCCCTTAAGGTACCGAGAATAAACATAGGTTTTGTTCATAAAGGACCTAAGTTGGAGAATTAAAATGCATGTGACCATAATGGATACTACTCTGATTAAATAGAGGACATGTCACTTTGATTCGTGTGTTTTGTTCTTTGATGATGGTTGTGCTAGTACTTGCACCAAGTGGGAGAATGTAAGATTTTCCCTAATAATATATATTATATATATTATATATTAGGGACTTAATTAAGCGAGCAAGTTGACTAGGCTTATTAAGTGGTTTGGTTAGACTAAACAATTAGAAGTTGTTAGTCAACCAGACTCTGTGCCTAATATAAACCTGGATTGATGGTGTTAATTAGGAACAGATGTATTTAGATTTTGATGATACCAAACTTACTAGGACTGTACACCCCTCTTTTACTCTCGTTATTTTGCATCTTTCGTGTTAGACGAAAGTTGTCACAACTCACCATGTGATTCGTGCTTAGTAACACATTTACACGTATCAGAGTTGTATTTTAATCAATTAGGTCTACTCGAAGAAGAGAAGATCAAGAGAAGGCCGAGAGAACAACTTAGATCGAAACAATGGAAGGGTCTAACTCTCGTGTAAACGTTAAATGATAAGATAGATTATTTGAATAGAAGGAAAAACGAAAGGTAAGGACAATCTTTCATTTAATAAATCTCGAGACAAAAAGTCTAAGTCAGACTTGAATAGACAATTTCTACACGTAAACAAGAAGAATGTTTGTCTACGTCTCACACCTGGGCAATCATCCTAGACAAAAGGAGTCCTAGGAATGATATTCACAAAAACCAAGAAGCATTAAATGATTAGTACCTTTGTCAGTGAAAAAGGACAAATCACATTTGCCACCAACGGCTACACAGTACAGCCGAATTAAATGCTTCATGCCCAGTGGATATTACACACTAGTTAATAGGTTTGAATTTTCATCTCCCTCCGACGGATGAATTTTTTCCTCACCTATAAATACCTCTCTTCACCACTGAAGAATGTGTTAGTTTTTCACTCAATTTTCATCTACAAAAGCTTTGTTAATAAGTGTCATCTAAAAAGCTTTCAAAACAAGAGATTATCTAGACTTCAAGCCTTCACAACACAAGAAAATCTTCTAATTTATACTCGAAGATTCAAGCATCATCAAGTCAAGATTTCACGAGTTGGAGAACATCATCAATTCTTTCCAACCCTCAACTCTGAAGAAGACGTTGATAGAGGCGGAGTAAACTCAAGGAGTTGAGAAACCTACACAAGTAGCTGTCCGGCTTAGTGATCAAGGAAGCTAGCTTGTTTAGTTTGTAATAGGAGTGATAGTGCAAACTCTTCTACAAGTTGTGGAAGAAGAGTGGAGTAGGCTTAGTTAATAGCCGAACCACAATAAAAATCTCTCTCTCACTCTCTCCTTACTTTCATTTATCTATCTATCTGGCATTGCATTCATACTGACCAAACCCTATGTTTTTCCATACGAAACCGTGCAAAGATTATCCTGAAACAAACTTACATTTTTCCGCTGCGTATAATCTCCGAAAGGAGTTGTTTTTAAAATTTGAGTAGAGTCTATTCACCCCCCCCCCCTCTAAACTCTCTTCCGACCCTACCGGGACCAACAGATGGGATACATGTTTATGGATTAGATAGCACATACAGATACGGTACTCATACTGCTCAGTAAACACTAATACAGCATTTAGGGTTCTGAGTATGGTATGAGGCAAATAATGACTAACGGTCTACCGTTAAGAGGCAACACAACAGGAACATCAATTGTGGCTGTAGATCAACACGGCTACACTTCCGCTTTTATATGAGGTCAGACTTCTCACATACTATTATTCAGTATAGTTAGATTATTCTATATCTAACAATCTATCTCTATCTCTCCCTCTCTGTTACAAAGAGAGAGAGAGAGATAGAGAGAGAGAGAGAGATAGATAGATAGAGATAGAGATAGAGATTACAATGGAGTAAATCTGTAAAGTTTTATGATGAGTACTTTATTTCTAAAGGGCAAAGATGAAGAGATACTGTAATTGATTGTCAATTTGTCATGCTGAACTGTGTACACATATTTGTAGGATACATTTAAAAGTACCACGACAATTGTAAACCATATAATATTTTAATCTTTTTTAAAAATATTTTATACACTTTTATACTTACCTCACGAATCGACTTATAAAACACCAATCGGTATAAAGTGAATTAAGGCCGGAGAAATTTTACCCACAGATTAAATTTAACTATCCAACCAACAAAAAATCACAAAAAGGTAACCCATTGTGAGGTAGATGAAAATAGGACAGTACTAATTTATTGTGCACCCAATGCAAAAATGGTTGGACATGCAACCACTGACCAATTCAACCGTTTACTCGCGGGTAGAAGACCAAGTTGCCATTACTGCTAAAACAACAAGCTAATATAAGGATGATAATTTCCTCTTTGTCGCATTCTGATCAACGCGGCAACCTTAATCGATGTTACTTTTTTGTTTTGCTATAAATAGGTAACACATTGAGAGTATGCATGCATTCTCATCTGAAATGCACTGTGTGCAGAGAGAGGGAGAGATGAAGAAGAGTACGCAGAAGAAGAAATGGTATTGTAATATATTTCCCATATGTGATAATGATACACAAGTAAAGAGAGATATGGAAGTAGACTTTTGGTGAATATGTCAGCCAATTGTTGCGTTGAAGGAACGTAGGTGGTGCGAAGTTAGCCATCATTAATCTTTTCACGAACAAAGTGACAATCAATCTCAACATGTTTCGTTCGTTCGTGAAAGACGGGGTTGTTGGCTATGTGAAGCGATGCTTGGTTGTCACAGTGGAGTTGTGCCGGGTGGGTAGGATTGTCTAATTCAGAGAGTAATAGTTGAGGCCATGTGATTTCACTTGCAGCATTAGCCATTGCACGGTATTCAGCTTCAGTTGAGGACCTTGAGACAGTAGATTGCTTTTCTTTTTTTTTTCCCATGAGATTGGACTTGTTCCAAGAAAGGCACAATAACCAGTGGTTGATCGGCGGGTGGTTGGGCATGAGGCCCAATCAGCATCACAATAAGCATGCAGGCGCAAAGAGTTACGATTGTGAAGCATGATACCACGGTCCGGTGAATTTTTGATATATCGAACAATGCGTAGTGCTGCTTGCAAGTGTGGTTCACGTGGAATGGATATAAATTGTGAGAGAAGATTGACTACATAAGTGATGTCCGGTCGAGTTACTGTAAGATAGAGGAGACGACCAATTAAGCGCCTGTAACCGGAAGGGTCAGGGAGGAGATCACCGTCGTGAGGATTGAGATGGTGGTTGAACTCAATGGGTGTCGGTGTAGGTTTGCATTCCAAAAGTCCTGTGTCTGAAAGGATTTCACGGGCATATTTCTGTTGATTTAGAAAGATCACTTTGGAGGAACGTGCCACTTCTATGCCAAGAAAGTATTTAAGGGAACCAAGATCTTTGAGATGGATTTTGCTCGCAAGAAATTTTTTGAGTAGTTTCGTAATGACCATGTCATTCCCTGTAATAATAGTGTCATCTACATAGACAAGCAAGATCGTTAGATAAGAGTCTCTTTTATAAGTGAACATTGAATGATCAGCTTTGGATTGTATAAAACCAGCATGCAATAGAGAGTTAGAAAAAGTGGTGAACTAAGATCTTGAAGCTTGTTTGAGGCCATAGAGGGATTTATGTAGACGACAAACTCTAGTCTCCCACTTTTGATGAAATCCAGGTGGTAATTGCATGTAAACTTCCTCATTGAGATCTCCATGTAGAAAAGCATTAGATACATCAAGCTGACAAGTGGGCCATCCTCGTGCGGCGGCAATGCTAAGGACAGTGCGGACGGTCACTAATTTAGTTACATGGGCAAAAACGTCCGTGTTAAGTCTTTCTAGCTGGGAGTACCCTTTGGCGACAATACGGGCTTTATATCTTTTAATTGTTCCATCGGGTTTATAGTTAATGCGGTAGACCCATCGACAACCAATAGTCGTTTTTCCAGGCAGTAGAGTTTGAAGAGACCAAGTGTTATTGACTTCGAGGGCCTGAATCTCTTCTTCCATTGCCTTCTGCAATTTAGAATTAGTTCGGGCTATTGAGAATGAACTTGGTTCAGTTTCTTTGGTAATTGAATTGATGAAGTGTGAGTGGGATGGACTTGCGAGAAAATGAGAGAGTGGATATTTGGGTATGGTAGCTAGGTAACATTGATAATCTGATAAGTATTTAGGGGGTTTGGATTGACGTTTTAAACGTCATGGTGATGGCGGAGTAGGTTCAGAAGGTGGCTCTGTTGGAGGTGGAATCGAAGTATGAGAGCCAGTCAATGGTGAATGGGGTGGTGACGTAAAAAATGACGTCACAACTGACAAATACCTTTTGAGTATCCAAGTCATATAACTTATAGGCTTTTTTTCCTTGAGGATAACCAAGAAAAATACAACGTTTAACCCTGGAATCAAATTTATTAGGATGATATTGTATAGTAGAAGCGTAACAAAGACAGCAAAATGTGCGTAAATTAGAAAAATCAGGAATGTGACCAAATAACATCTCGTAGGGGCTTTTATGCTGTAAAATAGGGGTAGGGGTACGATTAATGAGATGTGTGGCTGTCAAAATACAATTACCCCAAAAGGATATGGGGAGTCCTGCTTGAAAACGTAAAGCCCTTGCCACATTAAGAAGGTGACGGTGTTTTCGTTCTACAACCCCGTTTTGTTGAGGAGTGTCAGGACAACGAAACTGTTGTAAAATTCCATATTCTAATAAAATATATTGAAAAGCAGTTTGCGTAAATTCTGCACCATTGTCAGATCTAAAATTTTTAACACAAGTATTAAAATGATTTTTAACATATGCAAAAAAATTAACAAGCAATAGATAAGCATCAGATTTAAACTTCATCAAATAAGTCCATGTAGCTCTTGAAAAATCATCAACAATAGTAAAAAAATAATGATGTCCATTCCTAGTGGGGCTAGAATATTTTCCCCAAATGTCCACATGAATTAAATCAAAGCATGCAGTAGTAGCAGTACGACTAATTGGAAAACATAAGCAAGTTTGTTTAGACATGTGGCAAATATCACAAGGGTCTTGAAAATCAGAACAACCTAATATTGGAATTAATTTTTGAAAAGTAGTATGAGAATGATGACCAAGTCTAGCGTTCCATGTATTTGGTGTAGTGGTGAGTAATGCATATGAGGCTGTTGTGGTTTGGCAGTATAACCCATTACGTTCATGGCCCCGACCAATCTCCGTCTTTGTTGAAAGGTCCTGAAACACACAAAAGTTAGGAAAAAAAATAATGCTACAATTTGAATCTTTGGCCAATTTGTGCACAGATAATAAATTGAATTTAAAGGTTGGAACATACAAAACATTAAACAAAGTTAAATTATTGGATATTGTAGTATTGCCAAGGCCAGGAATGGCTACTGTATCTCCGTTTGGAACTGATATAGTTGACATATGACAAGCATTGATAGGTGGTGAATTAAAGAGAGAATAATTAAGCATACATGATCAGTGGTGCCAGTATCAATAACTCATTCAGTTGATGCATTAAAAATAGAAGCAAGTGTGAGAGATATACCAGCAAGATTTGCCTTTGGTTCTTTTACCTCACGAAGTAGTTGAAGCAATTGTTGGATTGAGTCTGAAGATATGGAACCTGTAATTGGTGGTGGAGGTGTAAGAGTGGATGTTGGGGTGCCATTGGTATTGCCTTTTTTGTAATACTTGTGCCCTGGAGGATACCCGTGAAGCTTATAACATACTTGTTGGGTGTGGTCTAGCAGTCCACAATGTGTACATTTCGGCCTTTAACGAGTTTGGGTGGATCGATTAAATGGTTGGTGGGCAACATTAGCGAAGCTTGGTGTCATCTCATTAGTTTGGCCAGTAGTTTGTAAAGGTGGTGGGTGTTTACCCAATATTGATGTGTCAACTGTTGGTGGAACAACAGAGGACCACGGAACATTACTAGACAAAGAAGACTTACCATGTGCATTAGTTTGCAAAGCTACAGAATTTGCTGGAGAGGTCAGATTGATAAATTGTCCGTTGTGTCTCATCCTGTAGTAGTAAACTATAAGCTGCTTTCACGGTTGGCATGGTAATTTTGAGAAGGAGATTGTTGCGTGTTTGGGTATATGTTTCGCGTAAACCCATCAAAAATTGGAATAAATGGCGTCGCTCCATTTGAGTAGCATAAGCAGTCCGCGCTGAGCATGTGCATACTGGTGGAGGATCAAGCAGAGTCAAGTCATCCCATAGTGCACATAAGATGTTATGATAATCTGCAATAGAATAATCTTGTTGCCTGATGGTTGCAATACGCCTTTCAAGATCATAAATACGAGGACCATTTGCAGTAGAAAAATGCTCTTTGAGATCGACCCAGACAGTAGCATCATTAGGAGCATATAAAAAAGTGTGGGCGAGTGAGGGATGGATGGAATTTAGCAACCAAGACATTACGATATTGTTTACTCGGTGCCAACGAGCATGGTGAGAATCAGTTGTGTTGGGGAAAATAGCAACGTCAACGCACGATCTGGAAGCCTTTTAAGAAGCACGGACACTACGGATGTATGGTAGAAAGAAAATCTGTGTCGTGTTATAATAACACTACCTTAAAAGCGTTATTTGCCCGGTAACGGTGCAGTTAGAACCCAGACACGCTTTCGACAAGCTACACAGACCAACTACGGATAGCTTGCACTAGCAATCACGTAGGCGAACCTCACTATTGCTCAGGCTACGGGAGAAAGAAGAAGAATAGAACAAATAACTTTGAAGTCAGGTGTGTTTTCCAAATATGGTAAGAGCTTCTTTATATAGTAAGCAGCTCTCCCATATTAGCCATGCAAAGAGAGACAAACAATGATGTCCACAACTTTGCACAAAACATGCTGACCACAAAAAAAGGAGTGTACAAAATGGGCACATCCTCTTTGAATTTTCCAACAATATTGTTCTCCTAAGTGGGAGGTGTAAGGTTCGAACCTCACTATTGCTCAGACTACGGGAGAAAGAAGAAGAATAGAACAAATAACTTTGAAGTCAGGTGTGTTTTCCAAATATGGTAAGAGCTTCTTTATATAGTAAGTAGCTCTCCCATATTAGCCATGCAAAGAGAGACAAACAATGATGTCCACAACTTTGCACAAAACATGCTGACCACAAAAAAAGGAGTGCACAAAATGCGCACATCCTCTTTGAATTTTCCAACAATCCCCCACAAATTTAAAGAGGAAAGGAAAAGGATAAAGTTTGAGCAATACAAATGAGTTGATCTTAATGTCAGTGTTTGAGAACTTGAACTGACACGTAGTAACACTGAGTAATTTTCTTCCCGGGAGTGATGTGAATCTTGAACTCACCGGTTAGATAAATTTTGAACTCGAATGTACACACCAACTCAAAAAGCAGGTTCTACGAAAGTCAAACTCTTTGACTTCTTATGAATACCCTTAGTATTCAAGAATGTTACGTCTGTCTCAAAAATAGACTTCTATCCTGTCAAAGTCTATCACAACATAGATTTTTAATTCTGACAAGTCTTACCGCATTACAGATTTTTATGTCTTATTAAGTCTATCTCAGCATAGACTTTTAACTCTATCAAGTCTATCTTAGTATAGACTACCATTAAAGGCTTATAGAGTAGTAAAGACATAAATCAGTAGTAAGTCGTTTCTTTCTACATAGGCAATGTTATTTGCAACGCAAACGACAATTTGTGAATCACAATGTGGTGAAGGTGTTGGACACCCCCACAACTGCATGGTTATCACCATGTTTCTTAGCCACTCGGCTTCTTGGGATAACCCCATTGTCTTTCATAAGAGGCGGTTAGCCCTTTTCCACTCAAGTTAGGGATCTCTTTAGGTCTATCTCAACATAGACCATGGTAGCCCTTTTCCACTCAAGTTAGGGATCTCTTTAGGTCTATCTCAACATAGACCATCCCAATTGAGTATAAGAGGCTAAACTTCCAATGTGGGACAACATGGATAGGCAAAAGGAAGCCTTTCCTTTTAAATGTTCCCAACAATCCCCCACCATTAAAGGGACTTAGGCTGATGCTGTCATTGCCTGACAACGATCAAAACAAATTTTCATGCCAGTGTATAAAACTTGAACTGTCATATAGTGACATTAAGTACTTCTCTAAACGGGAGTTAATTTGCTTTGGTCGCTTTAAAATATGTGAGGTCATACTCTTGACCCTGAGATATCCCCTGTTAGGTCTATTCTAGGATAGACCTTCAACTCTGTCAAGTCTACCTCAACGCAGACCACCATGACTGGCTACAGAGTATCTATGGGCACCACGAGCACTTTGTACTCATGTCATTATGCGGTGAATTCATTAGGTTTGTCTCAACAAAACCACCCTTTCTCAAAGAGTTATGAATTCATTAAGAGCTGTAGCTCAACCTCACATGCGGTGAATTCATTAAGTTTGTCTCAACAAAACCACCCTTTCTCA